TTGGTCTCGGCTTGAATAAGCAAAAATACGCATTATTCGAGCACTAGTTATTAAACGGGCCGCCACATTAATAACCCAACACATCTTTACAAAGGCCCAGCGAACATGTGGTAGTTAGTCAGAAAAACAGCTTGGCAGCCCAAGCTGCCACCAGCGAGAAGGAGCGACCACGAGCATTTGTCGCAATCTGTGCACAACAGCAGGCTCACGTTTAATCCTACACTATACATCGCGGGCCCTCATTATACCCTTTACAGCATACGCTCCTTTCTAGTACCAATGCGTATCCTATACCTGTGTATATATTTGTATACACACACATGCACACACACTCACACACACACACACGCACAGCAACCATAAACCTTAAGCTCAAGCCCTACAAACGTATGATATGGCAGGGCCAGCAGATGAGGCTTCGGGAACAAATGTCTCGGAAGTGTTTTGGCCCGTGGCCGAGATGCACACCGAATGCAGTAGAACGGCGAAATGAGAGCCGAAAAACAGGCACCGGTAAGCCAGAGAAAGGAGGGTCCGCAGGCAGATCGCGCTGAGCATGGCTCTGTCTGCAGGAGCAGGCAGAAGTCAACGCGAGAATGACCACAAGCAGCCGAAATCCGCAACGACAAGCCGAGTTCAGGGCCTTTAAGCCACTTGGATTTGTACAATGCCTTTGTAAGAACCTAGACAGCCTTTCAAAATCCCCATAAGAAGCTTCAATTAAAAACTTGGGAGGAGCCTGGAGATCGCAGATTGCGGATTCCGTGTAGAGACCACAGGTGCCCGTCTCGTCCGGGAGTTGCGAGATCTCCTGACCACGGCTTGAGGGCTCAGCTGGGTTTAGGGTTTAGGGTTCCTGCTGAAGAGTTCTAAGTTCTATGAGGAACCCTAAACCCTAAACCCTAAACCCTAAACGCTACACCCTAAACCCAACATCACGATTGTACACAAAACCGAACCATGACTCCCCAGACTCATGGTGGACTTTGCGTGGCTACCGAAAACCTCTCCGTCACCTTGAGCAGCAGATCAGGAAGACATGCCGAAATTTCCAAAAATTCGACTTATTTGGATAAGACCTCCCACTACCCATAGGCCCCACAGTAGTTTCTTTTTGGGGTTCATGTTTAGAATCCTGAAGGGTAATCCCAAAAAGGAACTACTAAGGGGCGTATGGGTAGACAGCCTTCTCAGGGCCAAGACGGCTCCACTTTAGGCTTGAGGTTAACTAAATCTCGAAAGCGCAAACTCTAAAACAGTTCTGGTTACGGTTACCGAAATCCCAGAACCCTAAACTCAAAAAAGCTTCTGGTAAAATGAGGGCATCTCAACCAGCAAGATTTATGGGAGGCGAAATAAATGAAGCCCGGCAAAGGACACCCGAGCCGAAGCAACCCGGCCATGAAAAAAACCCTTCAACAACCCTTGCGAAATCATCTTACAGCAAAGCCCGAACCCTACCCAGACCCTATACGCGGTTTTTCTAGAAACAACTGGGTTTTTCCAGAAAAACCTAGTAGAATGCGGTACTTGCATGTTTCTGGGGTAAGCTATACTTTATGGTTAGGAGTCAAAGATAAGAAGCTCAGGGAACCAACAACAGGTACTACATTCTGGGGGTCTAGGTAGGCCACGACAGTACGTAGCGAACGCTGAATTTAAAACCTCAAAGACCACCAACCCTTCAACGTTGAACACGGAACGAGAAGCTGCACTCCTGGATGGTGACCAGGTCATATCCTTCCGCATCAGAGTGAAGCCCTAAACCCCTAAACCCTAACCCCTAAAACCTAAAATCCCAAACCGAAAATCCCAGTGGGGTTGGGCTCGGCAGAACCCGAATCCTTGCACCATGAACTTCTAGACCGCATAGATCTGCAAACCTAAACCCTACACGGTTTGGGCCTAGGATTTAAGGTTTAGGGCCCTACCTTAACCCCAACTAACCTATACCGTTTTGAGGACTTCTATTATACAGACATCATCATAAGGAACCCCAGAAAGTGGGTTCTTTAGGGTCCAGGTAGACCAACAGTTTTGGGGTTCCTTTAAAGGGTGCCATAAAGGGATATTATAGAGCTGAAAACAGGGTTTAAGGTTTTGGGGGCCTTCAATACTAGGAATAAGGTTTTGGGGTATGTTATATACTCCATGATTATAGTAAGGAGCCCCCAAAAACGAGGCCTGTTCAAGTATTAAGGCGCCTGTATTAGGTAGAAACCTTAAACCCTAAACCAAACGCTGAAGGTCTAAGTCGGGTTAGTTTTAGCTAACGTAGGGAGCCCCCCCCCAAAAAAGAGGTATAGGTAGTTATTGAGGCCCCTGTAATGGGGTTACCCTAAACCCTAAACCCTAAACCCCAAAAAGAGGTATAGGTAGTTATTAAGGCCCCTGTAATGGGGTGGGCATCACCCTAAACCCTAAACCCTCAAAATCCAGATTGGGGCTCGGGTCCAGGAGATGGAGGCAAGGGTCTTGCAGCACGTCCTACAGGCATAAGGCTTAGGAGTTCAGGTCTTAGGGTTTGGGGTTTAGGGGTCAGGGGTTTAGGGGTTTGGGGTTTAGGGGTTTGGGGTTTTAGGGTTTGGGGTTTAGGGTTTAGGGTTGGAGGGTTTGGGTTTTAGGGTCTAGGTTTTAGGGTTTAGGGTTTAAAGGTTTGGGTTTGGGGTTTAGGGTTTTGGGTTTAGGGTTTAGGGTTGGAGGGTTTGGGTTCTAGGGTCTAGGTTTTAGGGTTTAGGGTTTAAAGGTTTGGGTTTGGGTTTAGGGCTTTGGGTTTGGGGTTTAGGGGTTTAAAGGTTTGGGGCTTGGGGTTTAGGGTTTGGGGTGTTGGGGGTTTGGGGTTTGGGGTTTAGGGCCTGTTTCGGGTTTAGGGTTTACGGTATGGAGTTTAGAGTTTAGGGTTTGGGGCTTGGGGGTTTATGGGTTGGGCGTGTCGGGATCTCGAGCAAGAAGGTTTGAGAAGGTGTGTAGGATAGTTTAGGGCTGAAGGTTTAAGGGCTGTGGCATTGGGCTTCACGTCTTGAGAGCCGCTCTTCACCTACGCTGAACGAACTTCCAGCACAAGTCGGCAACATGAGATGAGACTCCGGGCATATAGTAGTTTAGGATTGTTTAGTCGTAGGGTCTCGGGGGGAAACTGCTAAATAAACATATATAAGTGTCATGCTGGAACCATGGCCAGTTTGATTTCATTGACACTGCTATATACTGTTGATGATATAAATCCTGCATTACCTATAAGGGCGATTATGGTTTATTTCTTGATATGGGTAATGGAGGATTGATATCATCAACCATATGGCCAGGGCTTTCTCGGGCTCTTTAGACCCACACTACAAGTGCAGCCATCCCGTTACATCCTTTTGAGCGCCGTAATCTCAACGCCATTGAAACCATGACACCTCGATATCGCAACAAAGAGATCCACCCTAAACCCTAGAGACCCTAAATCCTATCCCAATCCTCCCCACATTCTATCACTGCACGGCCGAGCGGCTCGCGATGATTTCTGCCAGCGAGGCCATGACCTCCGACTTTGAGGCTTTGCCTCAGTCAGAAGAAGGTCGGGGGCTTCGGGTCTGGGGTTTAGGGTTTAGGGGTTTAGGGTTTAGGGTTTAGGGTTTAGGGGGCTTCGGGTCTTGGGGTTTAGAGGGTTTAGGAGCTCAGGTTTTACAGGGCTCAGGGTGTTGGTTGGGCGAGTTTCAGGCTCGTGTAGGCGCTTCAGCTACACGGCCGACTGTGTAAGGATGATTGTTTATTCTAAGGCTGCTCTATGGCTTCAAAGGCTTAACTAGGAGTACTTTGTGAACAAGTCAACTTGGAGTACTTCAAACAAAAAACCATGGGAACACCTTAGCCGTCAACTAAGAGCAGTCATGGTACTCGATCGAAACACGGGCCTGATTTATATGGGCCTTAATCAAAAATACGGCCTTGGGGTATATACTATGATGATGTATATGACAATAAGAAAACCTAGGGAAAACTGCTGGTTACTTTTTAGGCCTCTGCCTTATTGTCCAGACGTCAGGCTTTGCATTCAATTCCCGATGATGGTGTACGGGGCATGCTAATGTCAACGATGCTGTTGATGATATCACTCCTGCATTACCTTAAGGACCCTAGGCTATGGGATTTATGGTATATTCCTTATCATGGGCAATGCAGGATTTATATCATCAACCGTACGGCTTATAGCTACAAGGACCCTTTCAAGTCATGCTTGTTTAGTGTGTACTGCGTATGACAAGTTTTATCTTTTAGGGCCCAAAAAGGATTCCGAGACACCGTGCCGACGTGTTGTAGGGAGGATATACGAAGATCAGCCTCAGCCTCAAACCTTAACATGCCTTTGAAAAATAGACTCGCGTTGCCAAGCACGAACACCAACTCGCGAAATCTCCGCCTGGAAACAGGCAGCTTACATAGAACCCTCCACGTGATCCCGAACCATATCTAAGCTTAGCTAAACCACCATACTCTCTAAACCCTACACCCCCAGACCCTTGACCTACGATGGCACTGTAGTATAGAATCCTGGCTAATTTACCAACACCCTTAAGGCTCCTGACTATATTTTATGTTATCTTGTAAACATTTCAAAAAACCCAGACCCTACCCTATTCTAATCATTACAGCCTCTGCATTACATAACCTCTGCTCACATCTTGGATGAGAATCACTGTCCGAGTTGCTGCTGCCGTAATTCTGAATGTTGAATGTTGCCTGTGCGAGATGGGAGCTTGAGAAATAAACGGCGCCTGAGATTTTGGGTCCTGGTATAGGTGTTATATATATATACACACATATATATATATATATATATATATATACGTGTATATGATTACATATGGCGGATCTTAGCACTCAGGGTTCTATGCCCAAAGGGTCCAACGTGCCTACTAGTTATGTAGTAGCATGTAAGGTCTCTATATTCGGAATCGTTATTCTGATTTGGGAAAGTATCCTCCCATCACAATACCTAGGACCCTTTATAAGTAGGATAGTAGGGTCCCTCATATTCTGGCCTGGGCCGTCCGCAAAGGCATCGCAACCCCAATGGCCCTAAACCCTCTAAACCCTAAACCCAACCCGTAGCCCACAACCCTCCCTCCCGGCACTGGCAGCCGTAATGCCTAACCTGAAGCTGTAGCGAACGGTTCGGGTTTAGGGTTTAGGGTTTTTAGGGATGTTTAGGGTTTAGGGATATTTAAGGTTTAGGGAAGTTTAGGGTTTAGGGATGTTTAGGGTCTAGGGTTTCCGGTTTAGGCGGGTTTAGGGTCTATGTAAACTTCAGGGTTTAGGGTTAGGGCATAAGCTTAAGCAAGTTACCTTAGAGCATCGGAAGCCTTACATCACATCCTTTCAGGCAAAGCCGGGCAGTCCGGGCTTTGTAAGGGAGAGCTTGGGCAAAAAAGTTGAGCCTCAGCATCAAACACAATACTATGCTGGCACGGTTTAGGGTTTAGGGGGCTGAAAGTTTGCGGCAAAAAATGGGGGCCATTTAGCTTCGCTCGAAAAGGGTTTGGCTGGGTACACTTTTCTATGATAACAGCCACGAAAAGGGAATAATAGCAAGTACACGTTCTTCCGTCCCCTGTATTATGATACTTCAGTCTAAGGCTTGTTGCTATGCTTGACAAGAGGGGCGACAAGCTCTCAAGGCTCTCTAGCTCTTTAAATGCGATGCACCTTTGACGCCTGCAGAACGTCTGAGTGTCCAGTGCTACTCTTACGCGGCATACACCTCATCACTCTCTAGTTTAGGGGCAAGGCAGTCCAGGGTTAGGGCTTACCTTGAACTTAGGGTAGCGTAACCTACATTTCTCGTAGGTTCTTAGTCTTGTTATAAGCCCAATGCAGAATGAATGGGGACCCTACACAAAGTAGGGTTTGGTAGCTCCAGGGAGGGTTTAGGCAGGTTTAGGGTTTCCAACGCCTGAGATTGAGGGGCGGTTTTCACGGTGTAGCACTTTCCTAGGTGTCAGTCCTCTTCGCTTATCGCATACAGCTCGACAGTGCTTGGGGTTTAGGGCCTAGTTGGGGACTACCTTCTCCTACACCCCTAAACCCTAAACCCTAAACCCTAGACCCTAAACCCTAAACCCTAAACCGTATGAGACACGATATTTAACAGGCTGGTCCCTGGCGGCGAGGAGCAAAGAAGATGCCCTCGCATTGCGGCGCCTGTTTGCGCCGAGCACGCGGGCTCCGGTGGGTGCTTGTTAAAACATTAGCCAAAGGCTCCATGTACCTTTATGGTAGATACCTAGGCCTTGAAGGGGTCCCTATATAGGTACTTTAAGGCCTAAGTATGTACCATATGGGTACCTGGAGCCTTAGGGTTAGCTAGTTTATGTGGATAAAGCGGAAGGCACCAATACGGTTGATGATGTAAATCCTGCATTCCCCACAATTAATGATGAATATACCATAATTCCCGTAGTTGGGGTCCTTAAGGTAGTGCAGGGTTTATATCATCAACAATAGTTAGTACTATCACAGAGTATCTATTCCAATCTCCACTGTATTCTTTTCATGCGACTTGAACTTCGTTGGGTTAGCAAAGCTCTACCTGAAGCTATGCACGCGCAGCACATGGGGATCCACAACATATCTGTCCGGCAACCTTGATTTCTGCAGCAACGCGTAACAATACCTGCCGCAGATCTAGAATCCAGCACAATTCCAGCAATGCGCGTTTCTTGGTTACCAGGAATATCCGGAAGCCATGACCCAAAAAGACAGCAACAAACGACCGCAAACAACTACCAGAAGAGTCGAACACAAAGGTTAGTGATTGCGCTGAAATAGGACATACCACGCAAGAGGCGCGAGATTACCCTCGGGGCACCCTGGAAGTTCAGTGACTTACATAAACCCATATGACCGAAAGCTCTGAACCATGTCATTAGGGTTTAGGTTTTAGTCGTTTAGGGTTTCGGGGTTCCGGGGTTTAGGGTGTAGGGTTGTAGGTTCGAAGGCCTAGGCTAAGAACTTACATCAGCCACTGAACGCTAGGCCCTGACAGCATGACAAGTTGGGTTCTTTTTTGTAGGGTGTATAGGGTTTCGAGTGAAGTTTCCATAGACGGGAGAACAAGTATTTACGATTTACTATAGACCCCGACTAGGGCACCTTAAGTCAAATTCCCTAAATCCTCAAAAACCCTCAAAAAGCCTGAACCCAGGCAGCAGAGCTCTTCAGGGTACCTGGGTAAGGGCTTGTTGGCCCACGACCAAAGGGAGAAGGAGAGCAGCCCAGAGCCATGGGACCATGGCACTAGGTCCAAGTAAGGGCATCAGGATTTGGGGTTTCGGGGTTTCGGTGTTTCGGGGTTTAGGGTTTGGGGTTTAGGGGTTTAGGGTTAGGGTTTGGGGTTTCGGGTTTAAGGATTTGGGGTTTAGGGATTCAGGGCTTCGGGGTTTCGGGGTTTCGGGGTTTAGGGTTCAGGCTTTCGGGTGTTGGGTCAAGGGTTTAAAAGTTCTGATGGGAATTTGTGGCACGTTGTTGAGATTCATGCCGATGTTAGATGCTCTCGTTTCATGGCTGTTTTGATGGCATGCATTAAGTTTGAATTCTTTGGGAGTCTTATTAGAAGTGCAAGACAAGGTGCGGTGGTTGAGGTGGGGTTGGGGTGTCAGGCAAGAGCCGACTTAGTTTATATTGGTTTAACTTAGTCGGGTTTTGGGTAAACTAAAGGTTCGGGTTTAGGGTTAAGGTTGAGAATTCTACGGAATAGCTTTAGCCACAGACACGACAGGAGAACACACCACCATGATGGCATCCGGCCCGGACGGCCATCCACATGAGGGCTTCTTTTGGGACCAGTGCAAGTCCCAATTCCCTAATGGCAACGGCAAGGGAGGCTAAACCTGAAGTTACCCTAAATCCTAAACCCTCAACTAAGAGCCACGGTTTAGGGTGTAGGGTTTAGGGTTTAAGGTTTAGGGTTTAGGGTGTAGGGATTAGGGTTAACTAAGCCGAACACGCCCATCAGGCTGCTTGGCACCTAATGAACTCTTAACCCTCGGTCCTCCATGAAGGGTTACAGGTTTAGGGATTCGGATTAAGGTTTAGGGCTTTAGGGTTCTTTTAAAGGGATCTATAGGGATCTAGGGATTCTATGAGGAATCTATAAGGGTGCAAGGTTCAGGGTTTAGGGTTTCGGGTTTCGAGAATGAGGGTTTGGGGAATTGGGGTCGACGGGTTGTGGTTTTGAGCCTAAACCCTAAACCCTAAACCCTAAACCCTAAACCCTAAACCCTAAACCCTAAGCCCTAAACCCTAAGTTAGGATTAGGGGGACCCTGGGGACAAGGTCCCCTTTAAGAGAGCCAAAAGTCGGGCTTAGAAGGGTCCCCTTTAACAGGTCTCCCTTAACCCGGTTTAGGGTTTAGGGGTTTAGGGGTTTAGGGGTTTAGGGGTTTAGGGTTTAGGGTTTAGGGTTTAGGGTTTATACTGCCTAGGGAATAGGGACTAGATGACCCTTAGAAGTAGGGACCCTGACAGACCTTTTTACTAGGAATCCCGATATGGCGTATGAACCTTAAGCCTTCTTGGGGTTCCTGTCGTCTTTAAGGTGAGGGCTCGGGGAGGTTAGGGCTGAGAGGGAGTTTAATAGAGGGGCCTTAAGAGTTAGAGTAGGCTGGCAGGGTATATTATACTATATTGTACCTATACAATTTTTGGGGCTCCTTCTTATAGTTAGACTATACTTATAAAGGGGAGCCACCAAAATAGTATGGGTAATGATTCAGGCCCCTACATTCGTCTGTTAGGGCCGGGTTTGACGAATTCTCCCAGCCCAAGCCGGAAACCCAGCATCCAAACTCCTCAAGGAAGGGTTTTGGGTTTGGGGTTTAGGGCCTAAGGTTTAGGGGTTTGGGGGCTCAGGGTTTAAGGTTTAGGGTTTAGGGTTTAAGGTTTAGGGTTGAGGAATCTTGCAACCCCGCCCCCGACAGTGCACATGTCCCTAAACCCTAAGCCCTAGCTCCAAAATCTCATCCTGGAAGCCATGAACCACTTTTGATCCCCGACCCTTGCACCCACATCAAAAACTCCCAACCCAGAACCCTCAAAATTATTTGCTGCGATCCTCCGAAACCCTAAACCGTAAACCCTTACACAAAACTCCGCGAAGACCAAGGCCAGCGTTGCGTGAGCTCGCATGACGCTCCGACGGAGGCACGAGGGATCCACCCTGCGAAGGGTTAAGGATTAAGGTTTAGGGACAGGGGCTTTTCTTGTGGCACCAACTACTACCTGCTGTTTGAAGATTATAAAGCCTAAAGCCCTATCAACGTGACACGGGTTCAGGGTGCACCTACACCCCCCACAACCACCTTCTATTCTACCTAAACCCTAAACCCCTCAAACTTTCAACACCCACTGAGGGCCCAACCCTAAACCCGAAACCCTACACCCTACCTGCACCACCATTCGTTACAGTTA